GGGGTCGCGCGCCCCGTCACGTGCGTTCCCCCACCGCTCCACCCCTAGCGCCACGGGCCCGCGGGTCTACCCGCGCCACGTGAAGTCCCTACGCTCCGCGGCCCCGGGGGCCGCACGCCCTTCAACCTTCTGGGGGCCGCACGCCGCCTGTCGTGTGCTGTTCCCGCGAGGTCCGAGTGCACCGGGCCCTCGGGCCCCTGGGGCCACTGCCGGCCGGGGACTGCACGCGCCTGGCAGCGCCAACTTCTCAGCGACGGCACCTGCCGCGCCAGGCGCCTTTCCCTCCGGGGCCGCGTGGCCCGGCCGATGCCGGGCACTCACACCCGGGCCCGGGGGGCTGGGGGGCCTGGGGGCCCGGGGTCCAGCACCCGGTGGTGCACAGGCAGCGGGTGGGGAGCGACGCCTCGCTTCGAAATTGGTAGGAGTTGCGCTTTTGCTGGGGGTTGGGTTGGACGGCTTTCCCGGAGGCCCCCGCAGAGCCGGCCTCTTAGGGTCGCTTGCCTCGCACCCTCCTTTCCTCTTCTCCTTCCAGTCTCTACTGCCTTTCCCGCCATCAGAGAACCCCGAAAGGCCTGGAAGAAACCCCACTGTGGGCGGGGCCTGAGACCTTCTCCTGAAGGGTCGGGAGCAGGCTCGGCAGGTGAATGCCCACGCTTCCTGGGACTTGATGAAGAGAAGCAGGGTTTGGGTGTCCATTCGGCAAACGGTGGCTTCCTGGTGCCGCGGAGGTGACCACAACAGACAAGGGCTTGTCCCCAAGAACTCACCTTCTGCTTGGGGAGAGGCGGAACCAGGAAAACCGCTGACAAGCATGACTGCAGTGTGTGAGGGGGGCAAGGAAGAAGCCGGAGCAGGGTGGGGGGTACAGAGTGAGGGCAGAGACCATTTTCGGTAGACCTTTGAGGAGGGAACATTTACACAGCCGTGAACAAGGAAGATCTGGTAAGAGAGCTTTCCAGGTGGATGGAACAGCAAAGGCAATGACCCTGCAGCAGGAAGGAGAGGGAGGCATGTTTGAGGGACGGCAGGGACATCGGAGAGAGGTGCTGGGGAGGATGTGTGGGAGAGGGCTTCCTAGCTGTGTGTGCTTTGGTGGTCGGGTGGTCCCCGGAGCACACTTTGAGAAACAAGGCCCTATCTGGTGGATCAGGTCCCTGCCTTCCTATCCGGTCTGAAAATGGGCATTTGTATCTTTTTTTCCCCACCTTGCTTATTTTTCGTCTCTCCACTAGACATCAAGCTCCATTTTTGTGCTATCCGTCCAGCATCTTCCACACTGCCAGGCACAGACAGACCAGGTTTCTGAAATAACTGGTGGAGGAACACTCAGGACAGTCCTTTGGGGGTAGATTTGATCATCCCATTGAGACATGGGACTTGCTGAGGAGCACAGAATGAAGATACAGAATGGAAGTGGACACCCCCCCCACCCTCGGATTTGTGACTCAGTTTGGAGTGGGACCCTTCTAGTAAGTTCTCTGGTCATTCTGATGCTCCTGGTCTGGGACTTTGAGAACCAATGATGTTGAAGTCTTGAAGCTCATCCCAGCTGCATCTGACTTCAAAGCCTCCATGATCTATGAGATCCACTGGGGTGTAGGGTCAGCTGGACCTTATGAGCACCTCTGGGAGAGGGGTACTGTCCCCGGTGGTTGTGCCTATCAGAACACTATGTGCCTGAGTCAAATGTTGGGGTGACCTATGGACAGAAGACCCCGAAACACTGGGTGGAGATCATCGGTAGGGACAGTCCTTTCCTCCCACACCCCCCCCCCACTCCACCCACACACACAGACTCACTTGCTGTGCCCAGGAGTTAAATTACTGCCTGATCTTATCCCTGACTTGTGCTAAATTATGTCCAATAAAATTCTTTTAAATCCTTTTAAGGAATTCTCTCTTTGCAGTTTCTCCCTCCCTTTAGAGCCTTCCAGATTTTCAGCTCTTCTCTTCATATCTTCATTTCTCTCCTGAAGCATTCCTTCCCAAGCTGTTGTGTGGAAATGCATGTTGATGATGCCAGTGAAGGTTTTCTGGAAAGAAATGAACCATCGATGCTTGCTGAGCACCTACTAGGTGCCAGGCAGGTTCCCGGGGGGGTTTGTAGGCGTCAAGGGTGCAAAATGGATGCTGGCTCTGGCTCAGAGACCTGTTTTCTTTGGCTCCGCTGGATTAATTTTTTAAAAAATCATGAATTAGTTGCCAGCCTTTAAAAATTGGGAGATTTCACATGACGTTTTTTTCTTTTGAAACACTGAGAGATCTGGCTGACATCTCTCAAGTGAGTGGTATGCTGCTGCTGAGCTGGGGACACCCCTTTGCCTCCACCCCTCCGCCCCTCAGCCCACCTCGGGTCATTAGCGTGACCACCGGGCCCCTGGAAGCACGAGCTGGTGGGTTGTCTGGGGCCCACAGTCAATGGCAGAGCTGGATCGGAATCCAGGTCCATCTGACCTGAAAGCCCAAGCCCGTCAAGGGCAGAAAGCTGCTATTCGTATGGGGGCAGAAGGAGGATGTGGTCTCGCTGGCCCCGAGAAATACCTTAAAAGGGAGTTACTGTTAGTGGTTTAAGCATATGGTTTCCTTCCCATTCATAACCAACTGTCAGGAAGTCATAAAGCTCCAGGTTGTTTTTCCATGGCAGGAAGGGTTATCCAGAGCTGTCCAAACTTTTTTTTAATCCATCCCCCGCCTTGAGATGGGAGGGCTTCAATTTGCAAGACAACTGGCAACAGTTAGGAGAGGAATCTGGAGAGGGGGTGATGGGTGGGATTTTCCCCCTTGGCTCTCCTGGCAGGGGATGTGCCTGGGTGTCTGAGGGGTGTGCACGCAGTGGGAAGAGTGCTGCTCTGGGAGTGGGGGCGGGGCGGGATGGAGGGCCTTCCCGGCCACCTCTGCCACCTCTGCCACCTCCCGTCACTCTGCCCCAGGCACTCTGCCTTTGTGTGCCTCGGACACCCCAAGCAAGCTCTGTACTTGTGCCTGGAGTGATCTGTCCCCAGCTTTCCATGTAACCAGTTCCTCCCAGTCTCAGTTGTCCCCTTGGGACCGTGGGCCCGGATCAGGGCGCGGAGGGTGAGGTTGAGGAGTGCAAGGGCGCAGCTGTATTCAAGTCTTTATTTTTAAAGTTGGTATTTTGTTCATCATGGATTTGTTTTGCACTAAATTTTGATTTAAAAAAAATATATTGTATCAAGATGTTTTTTATCTTGATTGCTGAGCTTTTGTAGTGCTTTCTTCAATTCTGCACCCCAAGTGAGTGCTCCCCAGCTTGGCGCCTAGTCTGGGTGCTCGGGATTGGCAGTCAGGAGAGCTGGGTTCTGGTTCAGCTTGTGCTACTAGACGAGGTGTGTGAATGGACACAAGTCCCCTCCGTGGCGCCCTGAGCCTCTCAGCTGTACCATCTATCCAGGGAAGGCGTTGTACCTGACTCTAGTTCTAGAACCATCCAGGACACGTGGTAGAGCTCTGGTGGATTGTGCATTGTGTGCATCTCCTGGGGGCTTTGTGGCGGTTTTAGGCCTCGCTGACTCTGGTCATTATGGGATGCCACTGTCTTTTTGTGGGTACCCCAAGTGAGGCATTCCTCTGTGCACAGACCAAATCTTCATGGCTGCTGTGAGCAATGAGCATTAATTTCCTTGCTCATTTTCCCTGTCCTGGGGGAAATTTTCTGTTTTGGAAGTGTGATCCTACACCCTATTCTTTGATGTCTTACTTTTTGTTCTTTGGTTTCAGTCATTGGATCATGTGACACACATTCATTAAGAACCTTCTATAAGCCAAGCACTGAGCAAGCACTCGGGATACAAAAGACACATTTCCAGCCCTAGAAGAGCTTACATTCTAGTGAGGGAGGCCGCACATAAGCAGATCCGTGTGCTGTGAGCAATCTGCATGAGGTAGAGGACTTCTAGCCCAGTTAAGGCCACACTGAGAGAATTGTGCACTGTCCTTTCTCCTGGGATGACCCCTGCGTCCTTGGTGCTATCTCCAAATGCCATCAGCCCAGAGCAGCGGATAATTGTCTTCCTGATAGAATCTCCTCAAGGGAGTGCGGAAGGGTTATGTTTTGGATCCACATTTGAATAGGCAAGCTCTGACCTAGAGCTTCCGGTTCCTTCTAACTCCCTTTCTCCCTCCATCCCTCCTCTGGAATGCGGTTTGTTCCTTAGTTTTTTCTAGTCCTGACGGCCCTCAAACCCTGTCTCAAAGCCCACCTCCTTCTCTGGCTTTCCTCCACTGCCCCAGCCCTCAGAGGACTCTCCCTCACTCTTGTCCAAAGCCTTTATCAACTAATAGGCGCTCTGCCTGGAGCTTAATGAAGATCTTGTCTAGAGTTCCTTGTTGCTTTAGCGCACCCAGGGTGTTCTGATTTTTGCAGGGAGAGGTTACTTGTCTAGTAGTCAGTAACAGCTGGGAGGGCTCTGTCCCTCCAGCTCCCAGGATGCAAACAGATGCACCTTGCTAGGACTTCCATGTTTTATTTTTTTAAGATTTTATTTATTTAATTGACAGAGACAGAGAGCATGAGAGGGAACACAAGCAGGGGGAGAGGGAGAGGGAGAAGCAGGCTTCTGGCCAAGCAGGGAGCCTGATGCGGGGCTCGATCTCAGGACCCTGGGATCATGACCTGAGCCGAAGGCAGTCACTTAACCAACTGAGCCACCCAGGCGCCCCTAGGACTTCCATGTTTTAAACATAATGAATTATGTGCCAATATTTATAAATCAGGAGATCTCACATAAAAATCTGGATTTCTGACATCCCTTGAAAACGTAGAAGATATGCCAACTCTGAACCTTATATTCCTCCCTGGCAAAAATTGGCTAGATCTGGTAGCAACTTTTCCTTTAGATGGACCTTGGGTTCTCTGGTTTGCCACAGTCCCCACTACTCCTTAATGTCTCCCAGGGGGCTCCCTTTACTCATCCAGCTTACCATCACGGCCCCCATAGGCATTTGAGATTTTAACCCCTGCTTTCAGCTTTTTTCTTTAAAAGGAGACACGGCTCATCAGAGCGCTCTGTCCTGGCACATGCTTAGCAAGGCTTAGAGGGAGTCTGGCCATGTTTGCTGAAGATTTGCTGGGTGAGGGGGGGAGGGGGAAGTCAGGAGGGTGCTCACTGTGAATCCAGTCCATAGATTCTTAGGATCAGTGAACTCACATGGGTGTTTGAACTTGGCGGGTACTATTTTGCTTTATCTGAACACGTAGAGATATATTTAGTGTAAATATAAAACAATACATTTAAAAAATTAAAATTAACTTACGGAGAGCCTACCGTTCTCAGATTTCTACATGTATTTCTCACCCTCTGCGGGCAATACTATTTTTTCCCCCATTTGAGAGCGAGGGAGTGGAGACTCAGGCTGGTAACTTGCTCAGGATCACACAGCCAGGAAACGCGAAGCTGTGATTGCAGCATAGCCCAGAATGACCCAGGAACCTCGATTTTGGTAGGATTGGAGGCGCTGGTAGATGATGGGTTAGTTACTGTTGTTTTCTCTCGCTGGGGTTGTTGCCTCATTTTCTGGGGATGTAGCCTGTCTCCCTCCTGTCAGGTTGGGGCATTCTTTCCTTGGCACGGGGTTGAAGTTAGCCAGCCTGCGGGTCTGTTAGATCCGGAGACACGCAGGGGGAAGAGGCTTCAGAAGCAAGGGGAGCAGGGGGTGGGGTAGGGGGGAGGCAAGAAAGCAGTGGTCCCACACCAGCCAGGGCCAGGTGCCCTTAGACAGCGTGCCTGGATCCCGGAAGCCCAGGGCCCACCAGCCAGCCCCTGGGCATGAGCTCATGGCCCGTGTCCCCGCGTCTGAGGTCAGCGCCCCGTTGAGCATCCATCTTGCTGCAGTGGAAGATTTTAGTACCCTTGTCGTCACTTTGCATTGCTTCTGGGCTGCGTTTCCTCTTATTTCATTTTCATCTGAAATCCTGAGCTCACCCTCCTCAGCAGCTGACGGGACCATTTATCTCCAAGGCTGCAGCCAGTCGAAGGGCTGCTGACTGCTAAACGGAGCGCTCTGGGTTTTTGCCACCTTGTTTTTGTTCCTGCAGATAGGGATGGGAGACAGAAGAGCGTCTTCCTTTTGGAGCAGTGGAGCTGTCAGAGCTTTAGAGTCTCAGCTCTATCCCCTCTGCCCCAGAGGGCACTGCCCTGGGGGATTCTGTCCCTCTGTCTTCTGCCCTTGGGGACTCCAAACCTTAAGAGAGTGTGGCCTGCGCTCTGCAAGTGTCCTGTCAAACGCTCCTGGATCGTCAGATTTGGAAGGGCTCCCAGAGATGGTGTTGTTAGACCTTCTCTCAGGGCTCAGATAATCAAACGAGGCTCAGAGAGGGTGAGAGACTTGTGGGCTTTGCACAGCAAATGAGTGGCCGAGCACCACTGGCAGCTCCAGCCGCAGACCTTCTGCCTTATTCGAGCCTCTCGAGGGTCCCAGAAGGCCAGGGCTTAGGGGCCCCCTCCCCACGCACCAACCACCTGGCATGCTCTTCCCCCAGCTCTCTGAGAGGCTGCTCCTTCTCCCAGTCTGCTCGCATCTCAGATGTTCCCTCCTCAGAGAGGCTGCCCCCGACGCCACCCCCCAACCCAGCCCTCTACCACGTTCTCTCACATCCTCCACTTCTCTCGTCGGCTCAGAGCTCTGATCAGCACCTGAAATGATCCCCTATCAGGGTTGAGCTTGCGTTTTTATGATCTCTCTCATCAGAACACAAGCTCCATGGGGGCAGGACTGTGGGCCGGCTTTTTTTTTTTTAAGATTTTACTTATTTATTAGAGAGAGAGAGAGAGAGAGAAAGAACACGCACGAGCACATGAGCAGGGGGAGAGGGAAAGCAGACTCGCCGCTGAGCAGGGA